TTAATGCAGGAGATCAAAGAATTATGCGCTCTACAAATAACATAGTAATCAGGAACTCAGTTCAAAATTAATTAAACCCATCCAAAACATTTAATTACAGACTCAGTTTTAGTACTAAAAATATGTTGCTTACTTTGCCGGAATGTACATGAATCATATATCTTTTCATGTATGCAAGTTTTTTTTTAAGGGAGGGGGAGGGTTACGAAGATCACAGGTGCTGCAATTAAAGAGTAACAATCAATACACAGAACAGAAGGAGGAGAGATAAGGACAATAGATCGATGTTTGATAGGAAAGAAGGAGCAAACCACAGCATAGCACCCGCCAACCAGTCACGTGGAAGTTTAAACTATTCAATCTTTCAAACAAAACACTTTCCACCACTCGCAAGTTTTCCACTCCCAAGAATGAATTGTTCCGCTTTTTGCCATCAATATAGCCTACAGATTGCATTGTCAAGGATCCATGCGACTATCTCAGAAATATGCGTGTTACGTCAAGCTAAGTTCGAAGTATTATTGTCTGCATTCCGCCGATCAACAATGCTTGGCAAGTTGACAAGTTTGCTAAAAAAGCTACCTTTGTGTCATTAGATGTACTTGGGGAGGGGCTGTTTACAGCTTACGTACACTCCTGGCTCGCATTATTTTGCACGATTTAACCGTGGCAGGTTCAAAGCGAAGGGGTAATTCGGTAATAATCGAGACTCACTCTGTTTTCCTAGCTACCCGTACCGCTAAACTCTTGGAGTCGAGTCCAACTCAAGTAAATTAATCACCAGCGTGTGGATATTTCCAAACACATAATGGGTTTTCCTTAAACAGAAGCGGAGATGTGAGTGGATTCTCAAAATGCTAAATGGAAACATTGACTAGTGGCTTGCAACCTAACGCTAGTAAGACATCTAAAGAGTCATGGTCTATTGAAACACGATAGATTTTTTTTATTTACTTTCATACTTAAATTGTACTGATCAAAAACACTATTAAACGTTTTAATGCAAATTTGAAATTCGGATTGAGTCAGATATATTCGAGAGGAAAAAACAGATGGTGGGAAAATTCAGTGTTATTTAAATCAGCTGTCACACGAATCACGGCGAATTCCAGCTCTTGAGTTTTACTCCCTGCTGTTATGTTTTTATTTATTCCGATCGTGCTGATTTTGTAGTGTTATTGGTGGCAAGGTGTCGTCTACTTCTTTTTCCGCTCTCTCTCTCTTTTTCAATCCATGCTCACTCATCTATCTATCTATCTATCTATCTATCTATCTATCTATCTATCTATCTATCTATC